CCCGAACGACCGTGGCAACAGGTGACGATGGATTTCGTCACGGGGCTCCCAGCTGGCACAAGTGGCAACGACTCGGTGTTGGTCGTCGTTGATCGCCTAACAAAGATGGCGCATTTCGCCCCATGCCGAACGACGATCACAGCCGAAGATACAGCCAAACTGTTCATCTCCACCGTCGTACGCCTACACGGGTTACCTTCGGCGATCATCAGCGATCGTGATCCGAAATTTACGTCGAAGTTCTGGCAGGAAACGTGGGCACAGTACGGTACCTGCCTGCAGTTTTCGTCGTCATACCACCCGCAAACCGACGGACAGACGGAACGGACAAATCAGACCATGGAACAGCTGATTCGCACCAACTGCCCCGACATTCGCAAGTGGGAAGATTCGCTGCCGATGCTGGAATTCGCGTACAACAACGCCCCGTCGGCCACGACTAAACAATCACCCTTCTTCCTGAATTACGGGATAGACCCCATGGTACCCTCTTCAACGACTGTGGACAACCCGGTACCAAGATCGCAGCAGTTTGTCACAGAACTGCAAACCGCCCGAACGAAAGCAGCCGATTTCATTCGCAAGGCTAATACCACGGCCAGTCGCCAGGCGGATAAACACCGACGAAATTTACCCTTCCGCACAGGGCAGGTTGTACTTGTGGACACCAAGAACCTTCGGCTGCCGCAGCCCGCGAAATTAGGGCCCCGATACGTGGGACCATTCCGTATCATCCAGATGGTGACACCTGTCACCGCGAAGCTGCTGCTGCCCGACGATTGGAAAATCCATGACGCCTTCCACGTCGGCCTGTTGCGTCATTACGAACAGCCGCAGTCGCCAGCTGTTGCTCGACCAACCATCGCGCCGACCACTCGCCCCGTGGCAGAGCCAACGCTGGAACCTTGGAAGATTCTTAACCATCGCGTGGATGTGACTGCCGCCGGCCGCTCGGTGAAATTACTACTTCGCTGGAAAGACCGCACGAGCGAAGACGACACGTATGTCGCTGCTGATTCGCTACTGGGACACCCGGTTTTGGACGTTTACCTGGCCCGCCGAGGTGTTTCGGATATTCACCACCTTTCTTAAAGGGGGGGGTAGTGTAAGGAATTTTCCGGATTCCTTACTGGGTCACACTGTACGCGTACAACCCCGACTTTCGGAAAACCAGGCTCGGCCCGCCGACCTCGCCTTCCGAGCCACCACCGCGTCGCTTTCGGGTTTTCCAACCCCGAACCTGCACCCAACCATCTCGCGACCCCGCGACCTCGGCCTAGCTAGCCTTGCTATATTGTGCCTAGGCCTCGTTGTTCATTCAGACGTTGTAATCACTTCCGCATTATTGAGTTCTGCGCACTCTTTCCTTTCACAACTTATAACACTGTGACCCACTGTAAGGAATTCTGTGACCCAACAGTTGCCGTGAATTTCCGGTCGTGAAAAATGGGTCAGTGCTGTATCCGTGGGTGAATAGGCTTGTTAATAGTGGGTTGGTTTGGGCGAGTAGGATGGCGCGGAGTTGGGCGGCAGGGCGTGTGAGTGCGTCGGCGATGTTTGATGCGACTTTTTTGTACGTGACTGTGTAGTGGAAGTTGGACTCCAGATAGTCCAACCAGCGGATCTGTCGCGGGTTGAGATTCGGTTGGGCGCGGAGGTACTGTAGTGATCGGTGATCTGTCCGTACTGTCAAGTCGGCGCCAGTCAGGTAGCATCGCCACACTTTGAACGCGTGCACGATCGCCAGCATTTCGCGGTCGTATATCGGGTAATTGTGTTCGGGCGGGTGCAGCTTGCGGGACTCGTACGCGATTGGCTGGAGGCCGTTCCCGAAGTCCTGCAACATTACAACTCCCACGGCGATGTCACTGGCGTCGGTGACGAGCTCGAACGGACGGTGCGGATCTGCGATGTGAAGCACGGGCGGCGAGCACAAAATTTGTTTGAGGGCCGAGAAGGCAGCTTGCTCTTTCTCCCCCCACGTGTACTCAATCCCCTTCCTCAGCAGGTCGGCCAACTGAGCAGTCAACTTCGCCATGTCGGGGACGAACCGGCACACGTAGTTGACGAACCCCAAAAAGCTCTGCAACTCGGTCAAGTTTGTCGGCGCGTGCCACGCTTGAATCGTCGCGATCTTCTTCGGGTCTATTTCCACTCCTTCAGCTGAAATAATGTGTCCCAAAAACTCCAGTCTGTCCTGTAAAAACTCACACTTATATGTTTTCGTCAGTAGGCGGTTCTGACTCAGTATTTTAAAAAGTGCTTCAATGTCCTGTAGGTGCTGTACTTTGTCTGGGCTGTAAATCAGTATGTCGTCGAGGTACACGATGACGCACTTGTCTAAAAGCGGGAGGAATGCTTCGTTCATGGTCATTTGAAAGGTTTCAGGGGCGTTGGTCAGTCCGAAAGGCATGACGGTGTATTCGATGGATCCGTAGCGTGTTCGGAAAGCTGTTTTCGGGTAGTCGGGTGGGTTGAATCGGATATGGTGGTAGCCTCCTCGAAGGTCAATTTTCGAGAAAACGTGGGCTGTGCGCAGTTGGTCGATCAGTTCGTCGGCTCGTGGGATGGGGTAACGGGATTTGATGGTAACCCTGTTCAGTGCGCGGTAATCGACGCACATGCGAAAACCCCCGTCCTTTTTCGGTGTGAACAGTATCGGCGCTGCGAAGGGTGACAAACTCGGGCGAATGAACTCCTTCTTGAGCAGATAGTCTAGCTGCTTCCTCAGTTCGGCGGGTGGGCGTGCAAAGCGCGCAGGCAGGCAGGGCGGCGTAGCTGCAGACAGAGCGCGCGCGGACAGGGCGGCGCTCAGGCAGGGCAGCGGGGCTAGACCGTGAAAATCGACGTGCCTAGGCTCGTTTTGGGCATAATAAATAACCTGACGCGCCTAGGGGCGCGATTCAGGCAGGAACTAACTGTGGGCCCTATTAAATTTCTGGTCCTAAGGACCTACTAGCTCTTAATACCGTACCATGTTAGAATCATGTGAGGAGAAATGGATTGCATTAGGTCAAAGGGGAGGTACAAGTACAATGTCGAGAGATATTGTGTACCCCCTAAGGCTAAACCCACTAGAGCCTAGTACAAGATAAACATATAATGTTTGACAGGGGTTTCTGCGATATACACGCTCTCACGTAGCGGAGGGGGATTCTTGAGGGGGGGGGGGGGGGGTAGTGTAAGGATTTTTCTCGCTATTCCTTACCGCGACCGTCCACATCACGTACAGCAGCAGCCGTTGTTCGCCCATTACTGCTAACGGGGCTTCGCCAACTTCGCGCGCACTGTTTCACCAAACCTCGCACTGCTGGAGCAACCAAGTCGGCCTACGCTTCGGGACTAGCCCGAACGTCGTGCCAGCATAGCACTAGCTAGCTCGCACGCATCGCGTTACCGTTTGCACATTTTCGCGTATAAGTATTCGCTCATGCCTTCGCTCATATTTGGTACTCATTAAACACTCTAGTGCAATCCTCGCTACCTCGATTCATTGCACCCGTAACACCCACCCACCCATCCGCTCGTGTCCCACAGGTAGTTGACTTTTCGCCCACACCACTCAGTTTCGTGGAAGTCACACACTTGTAGGGTTCTTTCGATGGTACTCTGCGAATCCGGTTAATGCTGTATACATACTTTGCTGGAAACACTACCCAATTGATGTTTCCCTATCATGTCAACTGCTCCGTCCAGGGTGCTTAATTCTCGGCGTGTGCTGTGGTCAGCTGTACCTGTATTTTATACACTGAAGGTTTGCTACAAGAAGATTCCGCGGGGGAACCCGCGTGTCTCTAATGATCTGGGCACTCACCTGGAAATCCTGATATTGAAGGATGTCCTAAAGGCGAGCCCTGGTTCGGAAAATGTCAACACAGCACAGTAATGTTGCATCCGTGAGCTGGTGTACAGTGCGAACTCACCCACTGCACGTCACCAACAGTGTCTGCCAGACACACTGTTTTCTGAGACCCCACTGGTTACCAGCCCTTAGCTTTCGCCCAACCGTTCTCCCCGCGCAATCGCTATCTGAGCCTTCGCATGGAGTTGAGAGCCTCAAGCCCCCAAATAGATGGTCCACATTGCTTGGTGCCATGTTTCGTCTACCGTCGTGGATGGCATCGGGTAACACAACCCCCAACTCCCATGCACACATTGCCCTGCCAATTGGCATGTTTGTTTGCATGTACATAGCCATGCTCGTCTAAGAAAATGTAGACACTGAACAAGTCTACTGTACTCTTCTTTCACCATCATCACATGTCCGCATATTATCAACCCCGAACAAATGTCAATAACATGGTGCATATACAAATATAGGACAAACTAATGTATGCAGTCCCGCATAATACAATCGCATGTCACTACTAGCATAAAGGGTTCGCAACTAACCCATAAAGTATTGCTCACGATGACATCAGTACGTTATACAGTATGTCTGACCATGTATCTGGTAGTCCAGGGTTGCACCAGTGGGAGCAGTCGGTACCAGATGCGCCAGTGTAATTCTGCAAATGGGCATCCGGCCGCATAAGGCTAAGCCGTGTCACGTCCATGATCCTGAAGGTGGCTCTTTCATCTGCCTTCACAGGTGGTTTCGTCACTTGTTGAAACACGCCCAGCTGTGTGACCACTGCATCCAGTGCTTCTGTGCCTCTCTCCGCAACAGCCACCTCTGCATTTGTGAACGGCCTCTGTGCTCCTTTGCAGCTCTTCTTTGGGTCGCCACCATAGGCTTCCTCGTAATGGTATGGCGAGTATGAGAGCATGACAGGCACACCACGGTAGTCAGAGTTGATGATGAAGTCCCGCACTGTGGAAAGAGCAACGCTCATGGCCTGGAATGGACTCATGTCACTCTGAAGCACTCCCTTCATGTAGAACTGCCGCAGCTTAGGGGGGGCCTGTTGAGGGGCAGGTATAGACATGCAAGGGTCAGCAAATAGCAGAAGGGGTGGCAGCGTGCGAGCAAGCAGAGAGGTCAAGCATGTGGGGCGCACATTTACAAACCAATGGCCAGTGTTGAAGATGAAGATGTCCAGGAAGCGAAGCACGGATGCCCAAACCTCCTTGGGCTTGTCCAGGTGAATTTTCCAGGTGCCACTGCTCTTGGCAGCACCCTGCAGGGCGGACAGGTAGGGCCACGTTGGAGGGACTCAAGTCAGACGAATGCTGCATGACACGAGTTCAGCGAATAGACGCATGAGTAGCATGCATGGTTGTTGCGTGTGCATGGGCTGACCATGGGCGTGGCGTCAACTAGGAAGACGGCAGAGAGCGAGAGGAAGGTGATGTTGTACGCCGGCACCTTGTACCCGCGCACATCCTGCCCGTACCACGTGGACGTGAAGTCCTGCACACACATGGCAGGCGAGGGGCCGGCACCATAAAAACAAGTGATGATGTGAGGACATGTGCGTGTGTGAGGGGTCGACGGAGAGAGAGAGAGAGAGAGAGAGAGAGAGAGAGAGAGAGAGAGAGAGAGAGAGAGAGAGAGAGAGAGAGAGCGCAGTCAAGCGAACGCCTTGCACGCAAAGGCGCGGGCGGGCATTGAAGCGGCACACCCGCAGGCTCCGGCGGACCCCTGGCCCCTGCAGCTAGGGGACCTCCTCCACACCCTGGAGTAAGGGGAGGTGCTAGGGGGCGGGTAGATGTAGAGAGGTGTATTTGCATGTTCAACCTTCTGCTCTCCGTTGACCCTCTTGCTTGTACCAATCACCGCATTAATACAAAGGACCGTTTGAGACAGAGAGGGAGAGAGAGATATTCCATTTGAGAGAAAGGCAAGGTTACGTCTCAAAATAATGTCATTGCGAGGTACCTTGGTGGTGGTGAAGGAGGCGATGATGCAGCGGATAGAGCTACCAAAGTTGGAGGAGAAGGAGTCGCCTGAAATGCCAAGCACCTTGTTTCTGAAGCGGCTTGCAAATGCAGCTGGGTCGAACCTGCACAGGGGAGCGAATCTCACTGTTGCGAAATGACCAGGCCCACCATTGCCTAAGAAGCACACTGTGGAATTCCGCAGAGCAATACGGACAAAGTAGACACAGCAAGCTGAAAGGGGTGAGAGAACAGCGTGGTACCATGGAGTGAGAGGCGGACGGCTCACCTTGTCAAGTCGCAGTCGTCGGGCTGCCACTGCCAGTTGAGGTAAGTGGAGTCGGGGCGCTTGTTTTTCTGGCAGTTCTCGTACGCCCGCAGCGTTGTGCATGTGAATCCCGTGTACGGAGGTGGTTCATGTGACGGCACCCATCTGCCCAGGGCATGTGGCATGGAATTTGTTATGAGATGTGGCACGAAACATGCCTTGTGTCATGGCATGTGGCATGGCATGGCATGCACGCACGAGGTGGGTATATGAGGTGCGCACATGTCCGTCATGAGGGGCCTATGGGATGCTGTGCGCCTGCCATGCCTCCACGTGCTGTCTAACCACAACTACCCGCAATCGTCACACAGCTTGCCACAAGCAGTATGCCTGCTTCTTTCTACCCATGTAGCATGGGGGTGACAGCAGCATGAGGCAACGTGCAGGTAGTACGCACCTTCCTTTGGCCACATCGCACCCTCCCACGGATGCGGACGCCGCTTCAGCCGTGCCGCCGCCACTGCCGCTCGTCTCTCCGCCGGTTTTCCCACCTGCGTTTTTTTCGCCGTTGATTCCGCTGCTCGCCCCGCCTGAGATCCCGCCACCCTTTTCCTCGCCGCTGCTTGTGCTGCTGATGTTCTTGCCGGAGCTACTACTTTCCTTTACCGTGCCGCTGGTCGTATTGTTACGCGCCTTGCTCGAACCGCTGTTCGTACTGTTACCGCCAAACGTACCGTTGCTACTGGCCTTGTTCGTACCGCTGTTTGTACTGTTACGGCTTAACGTACCGTTGCTACTGGCCTTGTTCGTACTGCCGCTCGTACTGTTACTGGCCTTAACGGTACCGTTGCTGGGTCTGTTAACAGCATTATTCGTACCGCTGCTTGTATCGTTTCTGGTCATACTCGTACCACTGCTCCCACCGTTACTGGTTGTTGCCGTACTACCGCTCGTATTGCCATTGGTCTTTACCGTACCGTTGCTCGTACTGTTACTGGCATTTGTACTAATACTCGCATTTACCATACCGCTGGCCTTTTCGCTACCGCTGGTTGTATTGCTACTGGGCTTCACGGTACCGCCGCTCGTACTGTTACTAGCCCTGCTCGTACCACTGCTAGTACTGTTACCAGCCTTTACCGTACCGCTGCTCGTACTGTTACCGGTTTGTATCGTATCGCTGCTCGTGCTGTTTCTGGGCTTGCTCGTACCGCTGCCCGTACTGTTACCCGCCTTTACCGTACCGTTATTCGTACTGTCACTGGTTTTCACCGTTCCGCTGCTCGCACCGTTACTAGGCTTGCTCTTACCACTGCCAGTACTGTTACCCGCTTTTACCGTGTCGCTGCTCGTACTGTTACCGGTTTGTACCGTACCGCTGCTCGTGCTGTTACTGGCCTTGTTAGTACCGCTGCTAGTAGTGTTCCCCGCCTTCCCCGTACCGCTGCTCGTACCGTTACCCGCCTTTACCGTACCGCTGCTCGTAGTGTCACTGGATTTTACCGTGCCGCTGCTCGTACCGTTACTAGGCTTGCTCTTATCACTGCCCGTACTGTTACCCGCTTTTATCGTGTCGCTGCTCGTACTGTTACCGGTTTGTACCATACCGCTGCTCGTGCTGTTACTGGCCTTGTTCGTACCGCTGCTCGTAGAGTTCCCCGCCTTCACCGTACCGCTGCTCGTACCGTTACTCGCCTTCACCGTACCACTGCTCGTACTGATAGTGGGCTTGCTCGTACCGGTACTCGTACTGTTACTGGGCTTGCTCGTACCACTGCTGGTACTGCTACTGTTATTGCCGTTGCCCGTACTGCTTGTCGTACTGCTGCTGGCTCTACCTGTAGCAGTGACCGTGCTACCACGGGCGTTGCCAGGCGCCCTGCTCTCGCCGTCGCTCTCTGTCAATGACCCACTGCTTGACTTGACGCCGTTGCTGCTCGTAACACTGCCACTCGTGCTTCCGTGAATGCTACTGTCTAGACTTGTACTGTTTCTGCTTGTGCTGCGCGTGCTCGAGGTCACGGCAGGACTGTTGTCTAAGCGCGTATCGCCAGCCAGGAAGCTTGTTTTTCCCGTCGTGCTGTTGCTGCTCGGCACGTCGAGCGAGCTTGCAGCCGTCGACGCGTATGCTCGAGCGCTCGGCATCGCACTGGGTGCCACATCCGCCGCGGCGCTCTCACCGTCCAGCAGGCAAGGGTCCCGCGTTTTCATGGGAACTCCGACGACCGGCGAGTTCGAACTCGCAAGGAAGAGCGCCACCAAGAGCCTTAGAAGATTAATTGTAGACATCGTCCTTCGTGATCCAAGAAACTGATTGAGGATGTTCTGAATGTACTTCAGCCTAGGTGAATTTCTGTTTTACGATGAGCAATAAGGACGCGGTAAAAGTGGAGAATTGATCGCCTCAGGATCGTTTATTAGCGCGGTTGTAAACGGTTGTGTACCTTCCGTATGCAAAACGCGGGGTTTCAGTGCGGTGACCGGATAGATCTCCCCCCGATCGAGCACTTTTACCGCGTCCTAAGCAGGTTGAGGCGGCATTTTTCAGCCTTCCAGTTCAGAAGGCACCTTGGTGCTTCAACATTCGCTGCCTGCCTGCAATGTGCTGTCGTGTGTGGAGGCGCCTGACACTGCCCAGGTTTAAAATTTCGCGCCTTTTGGTGTCCGTCCGCAAACAACAGAGCTGACAACCACGACGGATTGGAAGCAGGGCTGTAGAAGCAAGGGCATTTGCCAAAGCTGAAGTATACATTTGCAAGTACTGTTTGGACTTGCACTGTAGCCAGGGAAAAAATCGCCAGAACGAAACAACTGAGCGTGGCGAGAGGTTTGGCGAAACATTGCAGCTTTGAGGAGTTCCAAACACGGGAAACTCCCCCGTCACCCAACCTTGCAGTCACACTTCCACTAGGAACCATGATAAGCGACTAATGTACGCTAAGCATAGATAGAGGAACCGGGGCGCGACAAAGAACATGCGGAGCATCGAAACCGCTCAGATATTCTCATGTGAGATGAGTTTAGGTACATTATAGGCTTGTGCGAGTGGGAAAATACATCTAGCTTGCCCGCCAGCTCCTTTCCACTGCTGCGCCGTTCAGCGGCAATCGGAGAGGGAAAGGCTCTGCATTCGTCGAGCGCGTCGTGCTGTATTGATGGGCCCCGTCGAAGCCCTGTCAAGGGCGCCTCGACGGGTTGCATCACCACGCTGGGTCGGTGCGATCGAGTAAGCCGTAAAGCGATTGAAAATTACGGGGCCGACGGCGGGATCGCATCGTCCATGCGTTGGCCACGCGGCCACTCTCAACACCCGCTCGGTAGGCATTTCCCGCTTAGCGCCTCACCCACTGTGCGGGTCTCCCGCTTACCGCCTCCAATGCTGGGAGCCTCTCCCGCTTAGCGCCTCACCCTCTGCGCGCCATGCCGCTTAGCGTATCACTCTGCGCGCCTTTCCCGCTTAGCGCCTGACCCGCTGCGCGCCTCTCCCGCTTAGCTCCGCAACCGCTGCGCGCCTCTCCCGCGCAACGAATCACCCGCTGCGCACCTCTCTCGCGTAGCGCCTCACCTCCTGCGCGCCTTTCCCGCGTGTCGCCTCACCCTCTCCCGCTTAGCGCCGCACCCGCTGCGCACCTTTCCCGCTTAGCGCCCGCGTGGCGCCTCTCCCGCTAAGCGCATCCTCTTCTAATTACCCCCCCTCCCCCCTTCTCCCCCTCACTACCCCCCCTACTCCCTCTCCTTATGCCTCCCTTCTCCCCCTCATTTCCCCCCCTTCTCCCCCTCTTTTTCCCCCCTTCTCTCCCTCATTTCCCCCCCTTCTCCCTCTCAGTTCCCACCCTTCTCCCCCTCATTTCCCCCCCTTCTCCCTCTCAGTTCCCACCCTTCACCCCCTCATTCCCCCCATTCTTCCCCTCAGATCCCAACCTTCTCCTCATTCCCCCCATTCTTCCCCCTCATCCCCCCCCCTTCTTCCCCTCAGCCCCCCCCCCCCCCTTCTCGCCCTCATTTCCCCCCCTTCTCCCTCTCATTTGCCCCACTGCTCCCCTTCATTTCCCCTCCTGCTCCTTCTCACTTCCCCCACTGGTTCCCCTCATTTCCACCCTTGCCGCCTCTCACTTCCGACCTTGCTCACTCTCATTTCCCCCCTTGTTCCATCTCATTTCGCCCCCTGCTCTCACTGACATATTCCCCTTCTCCCTCTCACTTCGCCCCCTGCTCACCCTCATTCCAGCCCTTCTCCCAATCATTTCCCCCCTTGCTCCTCTCATCTCCCCCCCTTCTCCCTCTCATTTCCCCCCTTGCTCCTCTCATCTCCCCCCTTTCTCCCTCTCATTTCCCCCCTTGCTCCTCTCATCTCCCCCCCTCCTCCCTCTCATTTCCCCCCTTACTCCTCTCATCTCCCCCCCTTCTCCCTCTCATTTCCCCCCTTGCCGCCTCTCACTTCCACCCTTGCTCACTCTCGCTTCCCCGCTTCCCTCTCACTTCCACCCTTGCTCACTCTCGCTTCCCCGCTTCCCTCTCACTTCCACCCTTGCTCTCTCGCTTCCCCGCTTCCCTCTCACTTCCACCCTTGCTCACTCTCGCTTCCCCGCTTCCCTCTCATTTCCCTCCTTCACCCCTTCATTTCCCCCCCTTCTCCCCTTATTTTCCCCACCTTGCTCCCCTTCATTTCCCCCGCTTCTCCCCTAATTTTCCCCACCTTGCTCCCCTTCATTTCCCCCCCTTCTCCGCTTATTTTCCCCACCTTGCTCCCCTTCATTTCCCTCCCAGCTCTGGCATAGCCCCACTGCCCTCCCGTCCTTTTCATCTTCCCTCCCTTACAGGGTGGATCCCTTGCAAAATACTGCCCCCCACTCCCTCCCTTTCATTCTCCCTTCCACGCTCTCCCATCGCCATGCCTTAATTTCTCATCCCCCCTCCTTCCAGGGTCATCTCACCTCCCATGAGATCCCACTCGCTCCTTCAGTCCCTGCCCATACTGCCGCTGCTGCTGCCTTTGCCGGAGCTGCCCCTGCTGCCACACCCAGTGTTCCTTCCTTTGGTGTTCCCCCCGGAGCAGGGGGTAGCTCAGGAAAGGAGGGGAAGGCATGGTGGAGGAGGGTATGAGACATGAGGCGAGGAGCAGTCAGTGGGAAGGAGTGTTCGCCCCACTCCTTTGACTTTGGACTGCCGACGCAGGCTGTTGGCCCCAACCCGTGTGTTTCTGCAACTGCCCCGGTGCTGACCATCCTTCTGCTCCTGCGGATTGAGCAGCCATGTCAGCAGTGGACGGGGGAGCGAGCAGGGTGTGAGGGTGAATGGGGAGGAGTAATGGCAGGTGCAGGCAACTGGATCCAGTTGCCAAGGTTTCAGTTGCCCCTGCTGTCACTGCTGCGTCAGCGGCAGCTACAGCATCGGGAACATTGGGTTTGTGATGGGGAACATGGGCTGAACCTCTGGTGCCCCTGCATATGACATGCAGGTGAGGGCGGGGTCAAGTGTGGGGCGGGCGGATAAGTCCATTGCCGGCTGTTTGATGTGAATCTTAGTTTGATGTGCACTGCTACCGCTCATTTCAAACCTCGCGTCACCACTTCCCTTTTCAATATGTGATCAGGTAGCACTGAAGCAGCAACAGGAGGTGCAGGCGAGGCTCGATGAGGAAGCGAGGCGGAGGGAGAGGGAGGAGGAGGAGTTGGCGAGGCTGCTGCGGCAGATGGTGCAAGCGGGCTCGACTCATCTCAAGTTTTGTCCCATCGTTCACGCCTCTCAGGTACTGTGCGCGTCCCGTCGCATGCCTTGGGACTTGCCTAGACAACCGTTTTCACGCCACTTGGATGACTAAGGGCACTCTCTCCAGGCTTTGCTTGAGCTCACCCTGATATGTGCCTTCTTTTTCCCCTTCCTCGTCCCTTTCTCAGCCCCGACCCCCCCACTCCTCTCACCGGCAGGTCCACCAAGCAGCACACAATGCATCGCTCCCCTCTGCTGCACACCAACGCCAGGCACGCAACAGCAGCCGGCAACTTGTGCGGCAGCTCCCTGCGTATTTATTACTATGCATTTGTGATTCAAGAAGCATGCATACACTCCCAAATTTAGTACATTTTTGGCACTTCAGGGCCAAAATCAAGCTCGTAGCCTCACAACATGTTTTATAAAACGAGTCCTTACAATTGTATCACTAAATACATAACCTTTATCACCCAACCCTGGATTCCTCGATACCAATCACGTGACTAGTCATATGCCCTTGCACGAATGCAGGGAATGGAAGGGAATGGCAGGGTATGGAAGGAAAGGTATGGCAGAGTATGGCAAGGTATGGCAGAATGAGGGACGGGCTTGGCTGGCGTATGGAAGGGTATGGGAGGAGATGGAAGGGTGTGGCAGTGTATGGCAGCGGATGGATGAGTATGGCA